CATACATATTAAAAAGTGAAAGTAAACATTACAATTCGATGGCCTTCTTAAATGCCCCAAAATAACTTCAAAGTCCTGCTAGACTCTAATCTCGATACAAAAAGATTATGAAAATGATGTCTAGTGAGTTAATCCTGAAGGTGACTGTAACACCTATTTTTCATGTATATTTTGTTGTAAAGTATGTCCAATGTTATTAACTATTGGTGTTATTTCTAATAATAGCAAGGTTCTATTGGGTTGCCCTCAAGACTCAATAGAATACATAAAGGAGGAATTAGTTTATTAATTATTAATTAGAAACTACTAGGAAAAAGAATTTGGCAATCAATTAATAGTTTAATTAATAGAAGGACTGAATATTAATTAATCAATAGTTGATGAATCAGGAGTATTACAGTACCCTAGAGAAGGGTTGTGGACGAAAATTCCTGTGGATAAGGTGGAATTTCGTTCATAGGGTTGTCCAACCCACATAGGCTTAAGGATAAAACCCTGGAAGGTATCCAAGACTATTAATAGGGCCTTAGGGATCCATTCTTCATTGCTCATTCTTGGCTTGATTTTTTACCACCTCTTTCTCCCTCCTTGTGGAAGAACTCTCCTTATAGTTCACCCCCTCCTATTTGTTTTTTATTATACTCTTTTGAGTTCATTAGGTGTGAATCAAGAGATGGATTATGGTTTTGGTCCTGATCATCCAAATAAGGTGGTACGCACGAGAGCTCAAGCACGAAGATATTTGGCTGCAAAAGAGGTTTGTAATTCTTCCTTTGTGTTTTTGTATTTCCAGGATAGAAGTAATTAGTATGAAACCATAGATCTATAGGTTGCATGTACACTTAGGTATATCATAGTTACAGTTTTTCTGCTACTTAGTTTAAAGTGTATTTGATGTGTAGAAAACCTAACATATTTTAATTGTTTGCGTTTTAATTCATTTATTTAAGATTAAAGGTTTTTAGAGGTAAGAAACTCCACGATGCGTCCAAGCCTCGCGACCATGTATAGATTGTGGTTCGATTTCGATTTTGCACAAAACCCTAGTTTAGTCTAATGCCCACCCTGCATCCTCATAACAAAACCCTATCCTCATACCCTATTCTCCTTCTATTCTTGGGCATGTAGTGAATTTCTTGGTGAAGAAGGAAGTATTTGGTGTTAATGGAAGCATATCCATGAAGTTTTTACCTGCTAGTAACCTTTCTCAAGCTCTATAATTCTTTAAGTTCCAACCTTTAGGGTTCATGCATGTTAGATCTAAGTTTTTTGCTTTATTTGGTCCATTTTGGTATTGTCTCCTTAGAGTTTGTAAACTCCAAGTCACAAAGATTGGTTAGTATAACTTTATGGAGATTTTGAGGTTAAATGTGTCCTTACTTATCCTTCCAAATTATCCATGCAAGAAGATTATGGTATTTTGATCCTATTTTGATCTAGGTTTACAGTTGGTGATGTTTGTGACATGCAAATGGATACATATTGAAACTTTATCCATTAAGACCATATTTCATTGAGATCTAGAATAACGGAAAAAGTTCTTAATGTAAAGATTGACATCTAACTGAAAACGACCAATGATAGGTCACGGGGCGTAGGTGAATGAGCTTCATGATTTTTTTATCATCTAGTGACCGCAACACCACTAAGATTGGGTTGAGGAGCATTGATCGTTGACTATTAACTTTGATCATTTGAAAGTTGACTTTTTGACCGACTTGAGTTTTGGTCAAACTTTGATGGTTTTGAGTTATAGACTAAGGATAGAGCTTTGTTTGGTTCTAGGTAGTTTGTGTTAGTTGGTTTGAGGAGTTGTGCTTGTAAGACTACAACTGTTAGCATAATGTGACTTTTCTAACTATACTATGTAGGATATTATATGTCCTGTTTATAGATGGTCTTCGTGATTTATGTTTGAAAGACAATAGTTGGATCATATCAACTATATGAAAGACTATGATTACATCTGTAACACCTAGTATCAGAAAGGCCAAGAAAGGAAAGGAAAACCCTAAGTTAAAGGGAGTCAACTCGTCGAGTCCAAGGAATGACTCGACGAGTTGAAACGGGCTCCGTATCGCAGATTAAATGACCCACTCGGCGAGTCGGTGAGTGGACTCGGTGAGTCTGGTCTAGGTTGGGAAAGCCCTAATTCCGGGACTTGGTACCCTATTTAAGCATCTTATTCTCTTCCCTAGGGTTCATTACAACCTCTCTCATCCAGAACCCTAAAAACCTAGCCACCAAACTTCATTCTTGAGCTTTTGGTGAAGATTAAGGTCCATTGGAGTGGATTTGGAAGGCTTGGAAGAAAGGAGCAAGGAAGGAAGTGTAGATCCAACCTTCATATTGACTTGGCAACTATTAGAAGGTAAAAAGTATGGACCTTGAGCTTTCAATTGATAGATCCCCTTTCTAGCTTGCCTTTTTGTCACAATTGGATGATTTCCAAGTAGAATCTGAGTATGAAGCCTTTGAGGATGGATTGGACAATAGATCTGGACA